TTTTCTTCTGAATAATCCGGCCACATTTTAGTTTAAATTTCACAGTTTCTTGATCATACACTATTTTGCTCAGGATTTCAATTTCCATGAAAGGGATGAGGTTCTACGAAACTACCCTCAGGGTTATCATGGCACGATAAGGAAGGAAGACCAGTTTATATTGAAAGATTGGGACTAATGAATGTTGAAAAACTTTTGGAAGTAACTACTCTGGATTGTTTTGTTAAATATCATGTCCAAGAATTCGAGAAGTCTATAGCCTTTCGGTTTCCTGCTTGCTCTGTAGCTGCAAAGAGACATATTAATAGAGGTGTTACCATCCTGGATGTTGAAGGAGTGGTATAGTAGTCTTATCTTGTGGATAATTAACCTCTTATTGATCAGTTTTCATAATGCTCGTTTTTCTGTATTATAGAGTTTGAGGAATTTCACAAAACCTGTACGAGAAGTCATTTTGCAGCTGCCGAAGATTGATAATGACTATTATCCTGAAGTAATTTGATATACCTCCTATTAGCTGAGCTATAACGCATGACTTTTACTGATATCTAACATCTAACATTGGCAAAATAATTTTGCAGACACTTGGTGAAATGTTTGTTATAAACGCTGGACCAGGATTTAGGCTGCTCTGGCATATACTCAAGCCTTTTCTTGACCCTGAAACGACGTCTAAGATTCATGTATGGCATCATGTTTTCTTCCTATGGTCAAGTTTTTCTCATGTTTCTTTTATATTATGTTATGAAGAAAGGGGTTCATTTATATCCCATATGAGAATTGATGAACGTGAGTCCGATCGAACAATTTTATGTTGCTCATCAAGAGCTATTGATTTTTGAAATTTCTAGGTACTTGGCAACAATTATCAAGGCAAACTGCTTGAAATCATTGATGAATGGTAATGGCCTCTAACTTTTTTTTTCAATCCTAGATGTTATACAAGTTCTTAACGACTTAACATGTCGTGAAAACTTAGTGATTTTCAGGGAGTTGCCAGATTTTCTAGGTGGTAGGTGTACAAGTGAAAATGATGGTGGTTGTTTAAGGTCAGATAAAGGGCCATGGAGAACCCTCAAGGAGATATCAATGGTGAATATGGATTGTTCCTTACGTTTCTAGTAGTACGCTAACAACCATTGCTAGCAGTGGTTGCTCATCTACTCCATCTTATTCCATTTTCTTAGGAAGCAGAGTGTTTAGAGAAGACAATGGCAACACCAAACATTACAAGGCAACTAAAACCAGCTACAGATTGTATGTATATTCCATTTTCTTTTTCTTATAATGAAAACTTACGCTCTGTCTATTTTTGAAAATTTTATGTCACATAGCTCATACTTTGTAATCTATCTATGAATTGGCATAGACTATCCTTATCTAGATAGATGTCCCCATGAGCGACTACGTCTGTATATGTTTTGGTAACGACCTTCCCGCTACTCTATATAGTCCTATTATGGATACCACTGTGTTCTTGTAAGAGAATAAAAGATCTTGATGCTTTGGGAACTTTTTGAAACATCATAGGAAGCTTATGAATAATAGATCAGCCAATGATGAAAAGAACTAATGGAATAGAGGTAATTATGTTCTAAAAGCATCAGAAAAAGCTAATAGTATTGTTGTTCATTAACATATGAAAGAATATCAATTACTCTATACAGGGGTGGTAACGACTTATCTGTTTTAGTCAGCAAAGTTGCTTAGCTTCTCGTCACACCCTCATGTTTCTTCTTTTGAAGGAATTTGACGAGGTTTTCTAGTGCAACGTCGGAGTTGTTGCTCTTCATGAGCTCTCCTGCTACTTCAGCTGGTGTTACCTTAACTCTCTGGAACAGATCTTCAATTTTCTTAAACAGTCTATGCTCCTCTGTCTTTAGGTAATTAGATGCTAGTACTCTGAAACCACTGAAAGTGCAGTGTGACATCTCAATGTGCACATCCATACGTCCAGGTCTCAACAATGCTGGATCAAGTCTGTCCTTGTGATTCGTTGTGAACACTATGATTCGCTCATCTCCACAACTTGACCACAAGCCATCAATAAAGTTCAACAGCCCAGAAAGTGTTATCTGCATTTGTAGAATATTTAGCAAAATACAAGTCAAAAGTATAATCCTTGCAGTTGATATTCATGCAAGTGCTTGAAGATCCATTATATATACACTAGTCATCAAGGTAGTTACATCCTTCAAATCGTCGAACACATAAAAGATAGTTTTTTCTTCTTCTTTGTTGAATAACAGGAACGAATCCATCTTTTCTTAGGAGAAGTGTGAAGTTCTTTTATGTTGTACACTGGAAAACGTGTCAACTAAATGCATTACTATACCTTGTCATCTTCAGTTGTGTCATTGCCATTTTCCCTATTCTGCAACCCCACATTGCAATCAATATCTTCTATCACAAGTATAGAGCGGTTTGATGAACCGATCAACAACCTTCTCAAATCCGAATTGCATTGCACCTCTCTTAAGTCCAAGTCATAAACATCAAACTTGAGGTAATTAGCCATAGCTGCAACTAAGCTCGATTTTCCTGTACCAGGCGGTCCATATAACAAGTAACCCCGTTTCCAAGCTTTTCCAACTCTCCTATAGTAATCTTTCCTACTTACAAAGATGTCAAGATCCTCAATCAGCTCCTTCTTCATTTCTGGTTCCATAGCCATTGTATCAAATGTTGCAGGATGGTTTAACACGACAGAACTCCAATAATCAGTCCCATTATAATCCACCGTGTGTAGCCTTACTACCCTTTTCTCCTCCTTAATCTCTTTGGCTCTCTTCAAAATATACGGTAAATAAGATTTTAAGGCCATCTCCTTTTGCTTCTTGTGAAAACTTAGCTCAAAATATCGAAGCTCTGTCTTCGGGTTAGTGCTCTTTTCACTCTGTTTGATTCCCCTAGACTTCATAATCCAGGTGAATTTGACATTTTCATAATTGTCAGTTACTTCTTGGTACCTATTCACATAAACAGCTTCAATAAATTTAAGATTAGCTTTTAGAAATTAGACATACACATTATTTTTTCAAATTGTGAAATTTTTACCTGCAAATAAATGTATATTCTACAAATTTTGTCCATTATACCAAACTTCATAGAGAATTTGAAATTGAAGAGCTAGATTATTGTATTATATCACAACGATGAAAAATCACATAATACCAAAATTCAGAGGCACCAAAATTTAATTCATATTTCAAACACAATTTCTCAGCAATCAACTTCACTTACCTATCAACAGTGACGGCGAGTTCTTCGTCTTCATCAGGCTTGTTAACTTTGATCCTCCGAGTCCAATCATTAACCTTTGTACCCAAATAAACTTTGACGGCGCCGAACATTTGGTTCGAAGTGAGACCTTCAGATTCTTCAATCACCACAGTCAGCTGCGAGGAAAGGCGGTTCGATAATTTTTGAAATCGTGAAGAAAAAAAGAGCTGGAGTTGTTCCGGTACAAGGTCGCTAGCTATTGATCGGAAAAGAATCACTGAAGCGGTGAGAGAAGTCGCCGCCGTTAAAATTGTCTTAGAGGACGGCATCGTTTCGAAAAACTCCATTTTTGTTTGGGAAATTGCACAGTTTGCATATGATTTTGATCATTGATCATTCTTGGCGGGCAAGAAATCTCTAGAAAAAATGGGTTCGCACATGTCTACAAAACTCTCGGGCCATATGATATGAAATTTTAGGCCCAAATAATGATACAAAATTACATTAAAAAAATTCAAATTATTAAATAATAAGATATCGGATATATTGGAGATAGAATTTTTGTAACCTTTTTAAAATGATAAAAATTGTAATTCTTTTGAATTTCTAACAATTATCAAGGCAAACTGCTTAAAACCATCAATGATCGACATTTAAGAGTTATAAAATATTGAAAATAAAAGATTAAGGAAGGTAAAGTTGAAAATTGGCATATAGCCTATAGGTTTGGTCGTGAGGAGGTATTTAACTATTTTCTCATTTAATAATATTATTTTACTTCTCAACGTATTTTTTTTTTTATAACAACTCTATTGTCCTTACATACCACTATGAAAGGACATATTACCATTAAGAACCACCCAAACAAGTTATTAATTAATTAATTAATTATTAATTCAAATAAAATCATGAATTCTCTCTTTCTCTTCCAACCATATTTTTATTGTTAATATAAATACGATACATAAGATCTAAGTTATATATGTTTATTTATCTACGCAATACGCGATCAATTAATAACCATAATCAACCAAATATAAATTATATATGTTTATTGAACAATTTCAAAATTTAACTCATAAGAAAATTTTGATAATATTATCATATTTAACATTTTGACAAATTATAATAGTTTATACTTGTGAGAAACAAATCTAACTTGTAATTAACAATAAAAAGTATATAATCAAATTGAAATTACAATGTGAAACTGGGCTTCAAGAACTTGATTATAGATTTTAGTGATTTTTGAATCTAGGCTAGATATATAGTAATATAAGTGTCTTTGAATGTGCTTACTTATGAATAATGCATATTTGATAGTTCGGGAACGTTCTGATGCTTCGCGAAAAAGAAGGAAAAATACTGAGGATTCGTGACACGAGTTTGACATTCGAGTATGTTAAGATTTTTTAAATTTTGTTGAAGGAAGTTTTTCTAATAAAATTAAAAATGAAATAAGTAATGGGTAAGGGCAAAAGATAGGAGTGTTGCACCAACAGTGTAACATACATTGATACGAATACCAGTGTTACAAAGAAAAATTTATTGCTATAGAGTGATATATTATAATTTGAGAATGTCAAAGAACAAGTACTATCAACTTGATTTCTTTTGTTTGATTGTGTTTTTTTATTGAACTCGTATATAGTTATGCTAGTTTAGGCGATAATATGTTATAAACTTATAATACTTATTTAAACTATAAGTCTTTAGTTAAATAATATTTGAAGGGAAATCAAGCTCAAACTACTCCAGTAAGGAGAATTTCTAATGTGTTAACAAAAAAGTCCCTTTTGAATCTGCCCTTTTTCATTTTTCCACAAAGCAGTATTAATTGGCAGTCTTAAGTTTTATCACTTCGGGTGAAATTTGATTGCATGTTACTATCAGTTCATGACATTTATATAGTGGGAAATTTATTAATAGGGAAAAAAAAAGGAATTAATTAATAATGATTGATTTTTCGATTGATTACCAGAAAATTATCTCCTATGTCAAGCTCCAACAGCGCTTTCATCATTCAATGTGGCTGAGCTGCTGCATGGATTTTACCATCTGAACATAGCAGCCGACTATCTGCTGGTCTAACTTGTAGTAATACTCCATCCTCTCCAAAGGTTTCAAATCCAGGTCGATGAAATATGCCTATATTGATGAGCGGCAAACAAATTAGACAAATCAACTGAGGTGTGTGCACAACAATTTGCAGATACAACAAGTTTAAATAAAAAGGAGATTAGAAAGAGATATTTCTCATTGTGCAATATATTATTCAATAACCCAAAAGGAGTTGGGGAAAGAGGAAAAGGGAATAATACCTTATAATCAAAACTTTGGTTGGTTGATTCTAAGGAAACCATGCTATATGGAGATTCCACACTCCCATCTTCGCGAGGTCTAAAACTAATCATCATGCTCAGGTCCTTTGCAGTTGCAGCAATCAAGTAATTCCTCACAATCTTCATGCTTTCGTCATTCGAGATTGAATGCAAAGAACTGTATCTTTCTGACAATTGATCTTCAGCTGATAGTTTATTGCATACCGCGCATGGTTGGGAAATGACATTGTAATATGCATGAATTGCACCTTCAATGTCAGCATTGTCTAACTTCTGGACTTCAAGAACCTTATTTAGCAGTCCTGAACTAAAAATGGTCTTGGAAATGAGATCTAGGAAGCATTGGGTCCGCTGTCCATCTACAGCTTGAATTACACACTTCAGTGCATTTTCAAATGTTTCACCAACTTCACAGCTTGTAGCGTCTGCATTACCACCTAAACCCCCTAATATGAGAGAACCATTCAGGAAAACTCGGAAATTGTTCTGTGGGGTCTCGAAAAGGCCCTTTATTGCTTTGTGTACCCTATCACTGGATCCAGAAAACAAATCCAATGGATCATATGCACTTATCTCTGATATCTGATACAGCAGAAGCAACCAAAGAAAATATCAAAAAAAGGAGAAAATGATTAAGAAAAAAGAAAAAGGTCCAACATAAGCATAAAGCTAATAACTGTATATAATAAAAAGTAAACACTACTTTAACTTGACAGGGGAAAAGGGGGAAGTTTATCAAGTCCATGCTGCAACTGAATTAAGAAATCCACCAGACAGATAAACAATTAATCACCTTTCCTTGGTGCAATTTTAAAGCCTGATGCATCTTGAAACGAGTTACAGTCCTTTTAATACTGTTCTCTGATGCAATAAATTCTGAAAGCGGAAGAAATCCGCATTTAGGCTGGATTCAGCAAAAGAAATGGAGACACTATTAAGAAAATTGTACTAAATAAACATGAAATTGTAAATTAAAAAAGATTAAAGTGAAACAGCATGAATATGATATAAAGAAGAAGAACCAAATAAAGCTATGAAAAAGTACCTTTATTTCAACAGATATACAGAAGTCTTCTTTAAGTGCACCTGAAAGGTGAAAACAGGAATAATGAAATACGCAATTTTGCCAGATCAAAATCCCTATTTAGATTTCGTGCTAGGCCAATCAAAAGTTCAAAACCAAATAAAGTGATTTTCCTTGTTTCTCTTTGTCAACAAATGAACCAAAACTTCAGTCAGCCTTGTTGATAAGTAGCATACTTAGAATAGCTGCAATGTATCTAGACAAGCAGTCATTAAACATTAGACTCTTTTTTCTTTCATACACACGGAGATTATAGATATATCCAATCTCTTAAAACAGAAGGTATAATGTGGAGGTTAATTCCTCAATTGCCAATTAGAAATACCGGACATGTGACATTTATCATTGTCGTTCACCCTTTAGTTTTATTAAAACTAGTCCAGCAATATAAATATACACGTTAAAGCTTGGTAAGAAGCATGGGACAAGAAGGGTTAGAAAATTATTACCACGCGGGAAAAGCGAATGATCAGATATCAGCAGTACAGAATCACACAGGGGGTTGACCATAGCGGCATCAACACGCCAAGAAGGACGCTGACATAGAACATTGTTATCAACTGTTTCCAGAAATTCTCGGGTCACAGGGATGTAAATCTGTCAAAATGGAAGAAAAAGATGGCAGTATTTTTAACAATTTGGTTTCCATGTTTACAGCAAACCATATGCTAGGAATAACAAATTTGCAATCTTTCATAACTTAAATCTAGAGGCCCATAGATTAGGATAACTTGATCAATTAAGTTTTATCCTAGCAAGCAGCAATGAACAAAAATTATTCCTCTACAGAAGATAAACTGCATAAGAATGCCTAAGATATAAGGGTGAAATGTTAGGTTATATGAATATTGGTAATAAATTAGCACTTCTTGATGATGCGCAGAATACCTAGTTATTATTTATAGTCCGCGTAGATTAAAGGTGTCCAGAAAGGGAGAATGAGTAAATTATTTTTTCTCCATTTGCAGAGAAGAAAAGATGATTTCAGGCAAACCCGATCTAATACGGAGTGATAAAAAATAGGTGGTATGTACAAGGCTAGCAACATACCCCTGCATCAACATTCTTCGAACCTAACAGCGAGCACATCACATGCTGCACAAAACAGTATTCAGCCATTTCTTTTGTAGGAGCTGATACCAGCTCTTCGAATTCTTTCCACATGAGGCGTTCCAACTCGGTTAGACCTGGATGACCATTCTCGCGTTGAGATCCATTCTTTGGTACCTTCTGTACCCGCAACACTTTTCCAACCTAAATAAAAGTTAAAACGCAGGAGAAGAGGATGCTACTGAGATATACAAAAAACAAATAGTTTCTTTTGAACTAGCAACAATACTCCTTCCATTTCAATTTGATTATCTTACTTTCCTTTTTAGTTCGTTCAAAAAGAATGTTTCTTTCCTTTATTGACATCTCTTTAATTCTAATTTTCCACACAACATGTTCAAGACCACAAGATTAAAGGACATTTTGATACATTCTACATATCTTTAGTTAAAGACCGAAAGATTCAAAATTCTTCTTAAGTTTGTTAAACTCCACGACAGTTTTCCCAAGTCAAAACCAAACAACAAATTAAAACGGAGGGAGTAGCATGTTTTCCAGATCAGATCTCTCTTTCTTCTGGTAGAATTTGTAGGCAAGAAAAGTTGGACTAATTCCTCTCATCAGGCCACTCTTACTATGCTATTGCTGAGGTCAATAACTTGTTAAAGAAACAGTGTATTCCAAGGAGGAATACAATGACATTTAGCACTAGTGCACTCTTTTAGTAGGATCTTTTCGTTTAATTATTTAGACAACTCGAGAGCCAAATAGTCTACTACTCTTATTAGACAATCCATTAACTTTTTCGAGCCTGAAAACAACACCTTCATGAGATGATGTACCCCCAATGAATCAGATCATTATACAGCTTATGAAAAGCAAAATTCATTTCCAGTAACTTTTTTATTTATATCTTTCAATTTATCAGGAATAAGCTGAAAAACACGATACAACAACATACTCAGTATAGTCCACTAGTGGGATCCACCGAGGATAGCCCGAACCTTGCCCTTACCTTGTTAAGCAGAGAAACCGTTTCCGACAGACTCTCAACCAAAAATAGAGAAAAAACACAATATTTACGGAAACATAAGCAGTGACAAATAGCCTAGATAAGAAGGTGAAATTCCATATTCTTAACTACTAGAATCTTCCCTGTTCCCTGAAATTGTTCACAATTCAAATAGATCAAAATTAATTTCGATTCGCTTAACAATTCACCATATGCAAATTACAACTATTCGAATATATAAGAAAGATAAAAATCATACAAAATCAGGATGTTCTCCACTATAAGCAAGCACTAGATTGACAGCTCCTTCTCCTCTATAACACCATTCTCGAGCATCATTCGCCTGCAAAACCATTGCCATCTGCTAATCCTGCCAATTAACAGCAACAAATCACACAACTTGTTATTATAATTACGGATTCAGTGAGTTAGTAATCAACAAATCGCCATTAAACCTGAGTTATTCGAAGCTCTCTCACTTGTCACGTCCAGTCGGGTTTCGATACGCTACAGTTTAACCTATATTATATAACATGTGCTCACTTATCTTCGAATCAGAACCTTTGAGGGTCCATCCCATTAAAATAATAAAAAATTAATTTCTACTTACTATAATATTTCATTATGTGGAATGTAATTTTTTATAATTCAAATCCAAAATTTTCATTTGTTGATGAAAATAGAGTTTTATTTACTGTATTAATAATGAAAATAAAAGGTGAATAGAAAATTTTGATATGAATAGAAACCAAGTCTAAATTTGATAGATGATATATAACTTCCTTCGTTTGATAATTTTAATACTAATCACGAAAATTGACGTTAGTAAATGAACGAATTTTTATATTTTTAATTTATAAGATTTACTTTTTTAAAGTTGAGTGATAATTCATTAATAGATATAGTTATTACATTATACTTTAAAAGCGAAAAAATCAGTTTTTATACTATAGTTAAAAAAAAAAAGGATAAATCCCCCTTATCCTACACCCCTAAATCAAAATGGTTTATAGAATCTTAGCTATTACATAGGATAGTACATAAAATTACTTTTTGATTCAAATTCTCTTGAAATTTCAAAAGTCAATTATAGAATATAAAATTTCACTATATAAACTTTCTTAAAAGTATATGAAAGATGATAAGTAAACAACACTATTTTAAAAGGAATAGCAGTAAACATGTTGTAGAATCATATGCTTAAGACATATATTTCCTTTTATTCTTTTCAAAACTTATGTCATGGACCATCCAATTTGCACTTGCAAATATTTTTTTAGAAGAAAGAATAAGGCCATAAAAAATATCATAGTTTTAAACAAGTATTGGGTTCGAATATAGGGCCGGTTAATATTCAGTTTGACTTGTATGAATTATCGATCAATTATAATAGCCTTGTAAAGCATTAACCCAAATACAGTTACGGGAATCTTTCATAAATACTATTTTGGCAAATATAGTAACAAGATACATTATATATATATATATATGTATGTTATATCTAATTCTAACTAATTATATTATACGAATATAAAATTTGATGATTATATGTATGTGTGTTTGTTTTCAAAGCAAAAGCTGAATGTATAAGTATATACGTGAAGACATCAATTGTATGTGTGGTCAACTGTATTTTTAAATTGTATACGCAGATCAAGTATATAACTATACAGAACTCCATTGATATATATTATGCACATCATAAATATATTTTGTATATCTATTGTTAAAATAGATAAATATCACTAGTATAATTTTTTTTAAAATACAACTACAGATATAATAAAGAGGAACAAAACCGCTACATCAAAGAATTTAAGTTTAAAAAAAAAAGAAAAAAAGAATTGGAATGTTATAAACTTATCATAAGGTCAAACTACTTCTACATGAAAGAAATATAAAAAATGTGATTTATACCTCTTAATTGAACATGGCCTACTGAAAAGTAATTCTTTTTCGAATGTTGTAAATACAATTTGGATGTGAAAGTTTCTTATAACCTATGGTTCTTAACTCATCTTTTATTTTAGGAATTTTGATGCATAATAAACATGTGTAATATATTATTATATATCTGAATCAATTTAAATATAGTACATTGAAAATAAAAATAAAAAATTTAAATGAGCGTACTTATTGATTGAGATATATGAAACTTCAATCTCAATGTGAAACACATTATTTGGAATAGCCTTATTTTTAAACTAATAAGTAACTTGACATGACATAAGTATATAACTTTTACTAAAATATCTCGAATCAAACAGTTTTTACTCACACTACTCTATTTCAATATTTCATCTTACATGGAATATTAATTGTCAAAATTTTTGTGTATAGAAAACTCATTTTGAAATTATTCTTTTGATATTTTATTTCTTTATTGAACTTGGAATGTGAAAGTCTTAAACTTTATAATGATATTTGCATCAACGAAAGTTATGTGTACGCAAAAACAATATGAAGTTAATAATTACGTCTAAAGTTTAGATATTACATAATCGTCTCAAACTCAATATAATGTCCTTCATAATATCCATATATACTCCTTTTCTTTTAATTTATATAACACTTTTCCTTTTTTAACAATCAAGCAATTTAAGTTTGATCAGAAATTTATGCATAAATTCTTTAAATGTTTTAGCAATTTAAAAAATAAAAGATAAAATTATAATCAAGACATACTTGTTTAAATCTCGAAATCTAAAAAATATCGAACAGCCTGAAAAATCTTACATAATACATTTATCATATGCTTCCTTTATATCATCAACCCAAAAATCTTACATAATATACTTTTATCATATGTTTCCTCTATGTGAATTATAAATACGCTGAGAAAATTTTCTTCTTTAATTTCCACAATTACATGAAATAAATATCTGTAAATGTTTAGATGTGACGTTAAAGTTTGCACAAAATAAAACATGTCGACATAACACATCTTCAATCAAATTTAGGTTGTTAAAATCAAATAATTATTTTTCTCTAACGCAGGTGGTCATGTGATTTGAATTATTATTATAATTTTTTTTCACTTCTCCCTCTTCTTAAAATCAATTTGAGTACGCAAACATCTAGAAAAATAAAAATATTTTTTACAGAAATAACGTGCATATATATATATATATATATATATATATATATATATATAT